ATAAATGACTACGCTACCCGATAACAGTTAACTTTAACGGCCTAAACGGTATATATAATCCTTATCTTTAAGACTGTATAACATAGAGAATATATATATATATGTATACTCTCACACAATCGGCAGTGCAGCAAATAAAAAACGATTAACTGAAATATACTTTTAAAACCTTATACGGTTCTACTGCGACAAGGMACGTATTTATAATATTGAAAAAAATAAAAAACGAGGTTGTTTTAATATATGACACGACGTTTGAGCCGTATATTATTATTATTATTATATTATTCATTTTAGCACGAGCGACACATAACTATTAAAATGCAGCGGTTCCTAAACTGTGCATTGTGGTAATGCACTATAGGGGTACCGCGAACACTTTGTAAGGGGGCACCGCGGTCTACGGCTCAAAATAAATGATTTAAAATGTAAAGAATTTTTTTCTTCAACAATTCGTTCGGTATTCTTATTTCCTGTCTTTCATCATATGGTATTCACAGCAGGAAATATATATTTGGTCCCAAAAACATCACCGCTAGAAAAAAAGTTTTGGAACCGCTGCTGCTATAAAACGTGTGCGTTGTACAGACGAATGTGCGCTTATTATACAAGGTAGGTATGGTAGGTGCACCTACGTTTAAGTGTTTATTTTTTTTTTCAACATTTTTCGAGCAGTTATATTGTAATATCATGTTTGTRTGATGTATATAAAAAACATTATGGTTTTCGATAGCATGCACGTGCAATAATTATCTGCAGGTTTGGTGTACAATATAATATAATATTATGCGTTATTATTACCTATTCTTAAAATATTATCGCATGCTCTCAAATATACTGCACCACACGCATAATATTATGTACCTATATGGCTACCTATAATATATAATAGTATACTATAATACRTATGCACACTAATAATATATATAGCCATGTAGGTACTTGACGAGAGTAAAACAAAAATAATAAAATAAAGAATGCGTATACTACTCTGCAGAGTACTGCTGCACGCGGCAGGTCGAATGTTGGTATAGTAGTGAATGACTTCCGGTAATGTGGAAAACGAATACGGCAGTTATAATATTAACGGGCGGCGGGGATGGGTTGAGTGAGAAAACTTAAGAGGTTTAACCAATATAATAATATATAGGTCCACTCACTAGTGCGATCTGAGGGTCGTCGATGTCAAGTTCGTGATAGTACGACTGGTCGCTGCCCCTCCTACTGCCGTTAAAGCACATGATCCTCCGGAAAAGGTCGGACACAGCGGCGCAAAAACCACATTGTTGTTGCATCACTTCGGCGGAGTGTGATGCAGTAGGTGAGACGGACCGGAATTATTGGTGACGGCGACGGTGGAGGTGGCAAAAGTGCACAACAACAACAACAACAACAACAACAACAAAAACAACAATAACAACAACGTCAACACCACCGGCGCCGACAGCTGCAGCAGCAGAAGACGACGGCCGCCGCAGTCCAGTAGTAACAATAGTAAAAGTCGGCCGCTGTTGCCGCCGCCGCCGCCACCGCCGCCGCCGTTACCAACGACACCACCGCGCGGCAATCACTGTCCTATTGCAAAGCGTCGCAGACTCGCAGTAGACCGTCGTCGTCGCACGTGGAACAGACCGAGACGCACGTGACGGCGGAAGATGGAGACTATGATGTCGACTATGATGGCGGAAGCAGCGACAAGGTTATGCCTAGTCGCATACAACCAGCACGACGGCCGCGGTCGGGCGGTTAACCGATCGGGCAGCGAAACGGGACGGCGGCGGCGGAAATAATATCGTTATCTCGACTCTATATTATCGCATCCCGTGATGGCAGAGGCTGCGGGATAGCGGTTGTCGTTACGATCGGAGCGGGGTGCAGGAGGAATAATTACATATAATAATATGAGCAGAAAATATTTAATTACAACAGATTGATAATAGAGTATAATTTATTGTATAGGTGTACGAGAAAAAATATATATTATTATTATTATTATTACTATTATTATCTATACGCGCGCGTAACTGAGGGCGGCCGGCCGGCGAATAGAGTCACTCCGGCGACGCACGCACACACACACACACTGAGACGGCGGCGGCGCGCGCGCGATCACTCCGTCTCACTCGCTCACAAGTTCCGTCTCGCTCATTCACTCCTTCTTTCGATCTGTCGTCTCTTTCGCTCTGCCGGCGCGATGGGCACGCTCGCACGCACACGCGCCGCACGCACACGCACGGAGACGATCGGGCGGCGGCGGCGGCGGCGACTATATAGCGAGCGGTAGCGGCGAGCGAGCGGCAGAGCGGCAGCAGCCGGCGAGCACCGTAGCGGACGCGCACAAAACTCTCGCGCACACACGCACGCAGCTGTCTGGCGCACAACACCGCGCGCGTACACACACTGCCACTCCGGTTGTCGCCGTTCTCGCTCGCGCACGCTGTTCCTGGCCGGGTGGGTGTGGGCCCGCCGCCGCGTTACAGCAGCTACGACCGGCCGGCTGCGCGCTCCGATCCTTGTCGGCGACGGGGCAGGGCCGGTCGAGGGGCGCGCGCACGCTCCCGGTGGCGCCCGACGATTCCACCGCCACCTCGGCTGCAGGTGCCGGTAGCGCACGTGCGGACGTCGCCGTCGCCGTCGTCGCTGAAGGTGTGGCGGCGGAGGCGTACACGCACCGCGTTTACATTAATGAAATTATTATATTATTATAAAATTGTTATTGTTACTGATTTTTTATTGACGTCCGCCACCGCCGGTAAATGGTCAACGACAAAATATATATAGTAACACCACACGCTATTGTCAGACAATCGTAAATTTGTTATGAGAATAATAATAGTACGCAATAATATGTATGTCAAAATCGTCACGTTTTAGCGATTGGTCAGCAAGTATCTACTATTTTACTTTTGGTCGGCAGTTGTTGTTTGTTGTTTTTTGACARCCATTTCTGTGTTGGTAACGTTTTTAGAATTAAACATTTACTAAATCCTTCGAGCCTAATTTATTTGCTTAGATCTACCGAAAACGTTCTCATATAATAAAACTGCAGTAGCTACGTGCCATTATATAGCAATTCACGTATAATTCAGAATTCAATCCAATTTTAACCGCAAATTAGGTTACCCAACACCTGAGGTTCTGGAAACCTAAACCCTAAATCTATCATTGCTCTACGACCCAAGGGATGAAAAGATTAAGTATAGTATTCCGTGAGATATTTGAAATAGCACTTCCATAATTGGATTTCATTCAAAGTTATAATATGAGTTTATATTATAGAAATGTAAAATTTATGTCATTCTCATAAAACGTTTACAATAACAAGAATTATTTCCATCTTAACACGGAAATAATTAACAATGAATTATTTAACATATGTCTAGGATAAAACTGGAGAAAAAATTAAGAAAATCGATAGCTTGTATTTGAACGATTAAAATTTTAATAATTTAAATGTATATAACAATTTAAAACAAAATTAATAGCTATTAATCAGATATTATTTTCTGTTTATTCCTGTATTATGAATTAATTATTTTAAATAATTGAAAATATTGAATGTAAATACCCATTACATACATAATACATGTATAAGAAATAATGCCTAAACAAGATCAAAATGTAATTTGTCTGCCATAAGGATGAACACCTAGCTATTATCCGACTTAACATTTTAATATAACAACTTACTGAAACTATTAAACTATTAACCCTTTGAGTAGGAATTTAGGTATATAATGTTAACACCACGTCATACTGATACGCATAACATATTTACGTAAAATTTTGTTTTAAACTATAGGAACAAATCAAAACGAAACCTTTAGCATTTATTGCTGCAAGATTTTGGAGATGACATTCTGTTTCGAATAAACAACGTTTTTTTGGGTGATTTAAGTGTTTTAAGATAGGTATATACCATAAAAGAGAAGACACCGGAGAAACTAACCTATGAAACAAATTAAACTGTGGTTCGTGTTCGTGAATATAACTAACTTTTAGAGCAGTAATAGAAGGAATATTGTATGGTTTTTATCAATATATATATATAAGTTTGGGCATGGAACGAATTGCAGCTAAATGTGTCAACCGTCTCTTAAACAATGAACAAAAACAAAATTGGAACAACATCGCGCAAAAGAAACTGCAGACATTGAGTATTACCTACCAAAGAGATTTTTTTGAATTATTCGTAATAACGCGTATTTAGGTGAATATAATATATTATCAATAAAGTTTTATATGACAAATCTCAGGTACATTTTTATCGCAACTCGTATATCTGTCAATTCTCGTGTATCTAAATAGTAAGAATCTAAACTTTAGACCATCCTAAAATAGTAACGTAGCGTGTTTTTCAATCGATTACGGTTACATATCTATATTATATTATGATAAGTATCTATGACTCCTTTTTCATGTGATTAATTGGTTTGAAGAACACAATATAGAAAATATACACATACAATATGCATTAAAACACGCACGTTACTATTAATAAGCGCACGTACTAAATATGCGATTAGCGAATGGACAAAACTAAAATAAAAAATTGTAAACATGTAAGTTGCATGTAGTGAATTATAATATGGACAATGTTGTAAAAGATAACATCCTATTCGACCGATAAACCACGTACAAAAATTAACGTTTCCGTAAAACTAATTTGTATTGATATTTCAAGTGGCACTTATATATATAGCAGTGTATATATTTATTGTAAGCATCGAAACAGTGAAATCAAGGAGGAGTAATTGTTTCCGAGGATTTAGAAAAACACAATTTATCTAAATTCATATTTTATGCCACATTAATTTAAAAAATATAWATACATTATATATTTATAGAGTACGTCCAACCTTGAATTATTAAGAAATTCATTTTTCTTGTATACTCTAGTCAATTAATCTTATAGTGCTAATATTGTACATATTATTGTTTATGTCTTATAAAAATAAATAAAAATTTCTTATAGTTAAATAAACATTAAATTAAAATAATGAACTTATTGTAAGTACAAGATACAATCTTCATAAGCGTAACGTCTAAGAATAATTTGGGTAGAAAACATTTCATATGTTGTTTCTGCAGTTCTGCACGTATAAACTATAAAAACCTATACCTGGAAACTATATACTTATACAAACTGAGGAGGAAATCAAGTAAGATTTGTTATCAAATACGTTTTAAAAAACAAAAACTAAGATATTATATACGATAAATTACGACGAAACAAACATAAATTGTATAATGTATATAGTTATATTTATACCTTCAGTTCGTGTTTTTTTTCTCTATACTGATGAATTCAAGGTTTACGAGTTCGGTGTGGATAATATTTTAAGCAAATTCAGTTATTTCAAAAAACCATAATACATGAGAAATGTATAAAGTAAGAGAGTGAATTATAATTTCTGCACATCATACAAATGGTGCCCAATCACTCTAATGATGTCATCACAAACAATAAAGTTGTTTATCCAAAATGCAATCAGTATAATGTACTTTACTTAYTAAACTTATAGGAAAGAAAGATATTATATAACATATTTGAAAATAATATCATGATATGCTGTTATTTATTTTTCGTGATTCAACAGAAACTAAAAGCAATTCTAAAAAATAATTACAAGTAGAATATAATATATAATATATAATACCCGTGATTATATGGATATAATATGATATTGAATTGACTATTGTCCATTCTATACACATTCATAAATTCGATATTGGAAAACGTTAAGAGAGTTATTTTTTATTAAGTAAATTCAATTTCTAAAACAATTCCTAAAAAGATTTTTAATGTACCTTTTATATGTATGTAGTTCAAATGATAAATTAATAAAAATTCTCAAATAATATGAATAATATATACTACAATAAAAACCAGTTGCTTGGATTGGGCATAACCAATTTTAACCAAAATATACAACTTTTCTCGTGACTGCTAAAGCAAAATAGACCACAAGAAATATATATATATAGTTTAGGTATTCACTATATATATAACGTAATGTTTATCTTATTATCTACCTATTTATGAAATTTTTTTCAAGACAGTACCATGAGTTTGATTTAATATTGATTTATTGATAACCRAAAACTACTAAATATTCCAAAATACGCACAATAAATCGTTATTAATGTTATTATATTCTACTACGCAATATAATTCATGAAATACATTTGTAGATTATAAATTTCATTAAAATATTCAGCAGATTCCGATCAGCTTAGGAAAAAAGGTACCTATATCAGGTATTTACTGTTTGATATATATTATTAAGCAAATGGTTTATTTATGATAAAATATTACATGGTTGGATCGTATAATTCCCTTACCACTACATTTCCTACAGAAAAAAAAACAACGGTTATCGTCTGAATTGATAAAAATTCTATACTGCGTACCACAATAACAAAATTTTAAATAACTTAAATTGGGCTTAATTTCAATATCATAGAAAAATTATAATTATAGGAGAGGGCTATATTTTCACAGATGTTTGGAAAACTCATAAAATGGGAATTTGATAACATATTAAAATTAAATAAGATTAGGCTGCTGGTCCATATCTCTTGAAGTACCTATAGCAAGATATGTATTTATATTTCACACAAAGCACATAATAATGRCGTGCGAGCATTTCTGAGCAAAAATACTTATTTGTTATTATTACATATTTATGTAATTTATATTTATAAAAAAACAATGGTATTAAACTAAAAAATAATAATCAAAATACATATTGTTTATCAAATAATTATAACAATGTCATATAGGCAATGCCCAAAGTATTAAACATATAAGCTGAAAATCATATTTTATAAAAACATATAAAATAGTTGCCCGCATATGTTATTGTTTAATAACCTGTTTAATTTATAGTTCGTATTTACGTCCCTTTAATTAAGTATATAATTATTTAATATGAAAGGACTTTGAAATTTAATCTTATACCTACATATTGTGAAAAAAATTACGATACTTTCAGCTGCCTTTTGTTAAGATATAGATTACTAATAGCAACCGTTTGAGTAGGTATGAAACATGATACTATCAACAATTTATCATGTCACTAGATCACCACACATTGAGAAAATCAGTTGAAATTGGAGAACCTGTCATTATTAGGTACGAACAAATTGATATTTTCATTGGAGAACTAGGTCACGCAATAAATACGTTTATACATCAATCATGCAAAACATAAAACATAATCAGAACCTTTACAAAGTTCAAAAATTTAATGCGAAATTAATTTAAGCTAAAAGTTGCAATTTAATTATTTCAAGCCAATAGCAGGTAAAACATAGACATTTATTTATTTATTATTACTCTCTTTTATTAGTTAATTATTAATTATATTTTCATTTATTTAAAGATACTAAAATGT